ATTAGGTTGCTATCAATTTAACGTTCTCATATCTTTCAATTTTTTGAATTAACTTATTGTTAGATGTTTACTTGACAAAGGAAGTGGTATGGAATAAAAGAAAATAAATCATTGTAAGTATGTGATTATTGAAGAAGATTAATAAGTAAAGCATATGAAAAATCATACTTCAGGATCTTTCAGCCCTTCTTTTACCTCCACTGATTTTAAGTATTGCAAACTGCTTAAAAATGCAAAACTACTCAAGTAATTATTCAGCACACGAAAGCTAAAATGTGTACTTTGAAGAGCACAATTATGAAGTTATAATTTCCAATGTTAGGTAACATTTATCAAATAAGTCACTAGCTGGCGCTTTAATGGCTTTTGTTTCGATTTTTATCATATACTAAATCTCAAATAGAAAAATAATATCTGATATATATATTCCTTTAGCAATTATACTATATATCATTGATACATTTCAAGATGGTTTTAAGTCAAAGTTGTTAGGGTTAAAGATACTATAGCTCATGACGAGTCTTTGATGACACTTCAATGCAATTGTAAAAACACTTAATAATCAAATCACATTTTATCAAACTATATGTTTACATAATTGGACGCATTTAAACCATTTCTTGTACGCATATAAAAATATAAATAAGGAATGGACGGAATGGAATTACTCAAGTAATTATTCAGCACACAAAAGCTAAGATGAGTCATTTGAAGAGCATAGTCATGAAGTTATAATTTCCAATGTTAAATAACATTTATTAAACAAATCACTAGATGGCGCTTTAATAGTTTTTTTTATTAAATTTTATCATGTACTAAATCTCAAATAGAAAAAATAATTACCAGATATATATTTCTGTAGCAATTATACTATATATCATTGAAAGGTGGTTTTAAGTCAAAATTGTTATAGCTTATGATAACACTTCAGTGTAATTGTAAAAACACTTAATATTCAAATCACATTTTATCAAACTATATTTTTACATGATTTGACGCATTTAAACCATTACTTGTACGCATATAACAATATAAAGAAGAAATGGACAAATTTTTCAACCACGCCTTTCTGGAACGTATTTTATTATCGTTATTGTGCAGTCACTACATTAACGTCTGCCACACGAGACAGCTCAGCATCTTGATGTGGATAAAAAAAATGAGTCATTCCGGAAAGGTTTGGGTGGTTTTGATTAGATAAAAAGAAGACGTTTAGCACAATTTTCGAGGGTTAGGCCCAAGACCATGAGAGCCAACATGGAGGAGTTAACTTGTACGTGTAAAGTAAAATGATGCAGCAATGAAACATACTTGAAATGTTCTAGATGGGGTTGTGAATGTGATTATTCAAGTGTAACGATTAAACTAAACCGTGAGTCCAGGTGGGATGGGGAAGAACTTATTCGAAGATATCGGAGATTCATCAATTGATTACAGCATTGACAGCGAAACATAAAACAATGGGCACAATAGTATCGTTATCTTCAAAGAGGCGGATTGGAAACGTATACAATAAATCATTAGTTTCAATATTTTGTGAAACTAACGGTACAGTACAGCCCAAAGATGCAATGTTGAAGTTGAAGCAGATGCACGATGCATTACATAATCATGTCCCTAGCGACTCTTAAATTTAAAATGCCGTTTTTGTAATGCAGGATGGTATAATGCTCAGTATGGTACCACCATACATAGTATAATCCATATAGATTTCATCGTGTCATATTTTCATTAATATTTAGTTGTTTTTTGTTGTAGCTTGTTATTTTTTCGTTTTGGAAGTTGTGCTGAACTTCATTCATTGAGATATATCGAAATAACCCTAAATCACCGGTTTCCGGAACGACCTCCTGTTGACCATTTTAGGCTCTGTACTAAAAGATGCTGGGCTGGCTCGTGTGGCACGCTTTAAAAAAATGATCTAGAACCAAGTACATAACAAAATTTATGAGGTATTGAATAAACGTAAAAGACATTAATTTTAATTTCTAGATTCTAAAGTGTATAAAACAAAATAATTATTTATCTTAGTGAGAGAATATATAAAAATAATAATTTCCACAGTATTGAACACCAAGTATATTGTAAAATAATCTTTTTTGCAGAGTATTAACTTTATTAACGAAAGTTCTAACGATCAAAAATAAATTTGCATTATAAAGTTAACATGCTGTCTTTAAGGGATGCTGTAATTTTCATTTATTCTAAGTACATTTTTGACTCATTAATGTGGTTCTGGAAGGCGTTGTCAAAGTTTCAATATAAAAGCTTTAACGTCATAACCATAATTAATGTTAAAGTCAGTATTTCTTCAGCTCGGCATGCTTTTTGTGGTTTAATAGGTATTCATTTGTCCAGAAGTGAGTTTGTTGTTTGTTTGTAGTTAAGCACAAAGCTACACAATGGGCTATCTGTGCTCTGTCCACCACAGGTATTGAAACCCTGTTTCTAACGTTGTAAATCCGCAGACATACCGCTGTGCCACTAGGAGGCCAGAAAGTAGCTTGATGAATCAATTTTTGCTAATAAAATGAAGTTTTTCGAGGTTTTGTTGGGTTTATCTATGTAAAGAAAATTTCTTAATATATTAATCGATTTTTAACTTGTTTTGTTTTTACGTTCCTTGGCATTTTTTCATTAAAATGAACAAATATAAAATAAGAACAATAATAGAATATATATATATATATATATATATTTAGAACATCAAAACATTTATTCTGTTATTATGATAATTAATGCACAAAAATACTGATACCACAATAATATGTTATTGTTAACTGTAATTCAAAGGCTTGAAGTTATTGTGACCGAAGTTATTGTAATTGTTGTATCTGACGTAACATCTTTATTTTATAATTTAATATTAAATTCTAGCCTGCATACTGAAACAGTCTTAGAGAAATATCTGTTATAGGTTTACTAAATGCCCTTTAATTAAACAAGAGTAGCGTGTTATTTATAAGAGTATTATATTTCCAAAACTATTAAAATCTTTTAGGTTAAATCATCTCTGTGTGTGTGTAATTTGCATGTGCCACTAGTAGGTCCCAGAAAAAGTTGAAAAGTAAAAATATTACCAGAAAAATAAAATATTTAATCATATTTAAGGTTTATTACTCATCATATTTTCCTGAGATCACTTCTCACGAGATGGAGCTAAACGATACTTTAGTGGAATATCGTTAATAGTGAATTGCTAGACATTTTAAGAGCATACACTCACAAAACAACTAACTATTCCTATAAACAATATCAAATACGTTCTACATTGCTTCAATAGAAGTATCAAAATACAACTTACCAAATTTACAGTGTTTTATATCTGTTAAAAAGGTTAAAGCCTCTAACGACAAAAGGAAAATAAAAAATTTTATGTGAAAATAGAAGTTCAAAATGAAAAAGTTAAATCTGAGACAGTGAGATCTTTGAAATTTCTAACTTATATAAAATTAAGACAGAAATATGTCGTATTAGGGTTTACCATACAAAGTAAAACAAAATCTTTGTACCAAACTTCATCTAGACTAGAAATAGACGTATTTATACAGGATATATGACATTTCATTACAACAAGCCATCTTCATTTATACGATAAAGAAGATTGTCGTTTATTTCCAAACTTGTCAAAAATTACGTAATTTAGTAACCTCAAATAATAGGTTCATGATCTTAGTCACGAGGAAAATAAAAGTAATCCCATATCACTTCAAAACAGAAAATAAAAAATGTATAACTGCCTACTCGTTTATTTTTATTTTATTTTCAAATGTAAACGATCTTGGCGTTACTTAGTGATCAGTGTGCCGGACTGTGAACCTGAGGGTCCACGGGACCTTGAGTGTATTATAAGAGTGATGGTCGATCAGCGTAGCCTAAGTGTTGGCGGTAGATGTTGATGAGTAGTTGCCTTCACTTCAGTATATTTATCTAAAATTAGGGATAACCAATATAGGTAGCTTTTTTGTAGTTTTGTGCGGAAACAAACAACCAAACAAAACCAAAGTTCAATTGTAGACCAAAACGTCTACTGCTTATAAATTAATTACGATCTGTTGGGCGCATTTCTCGGTGTTGTGCATTAATATGAGTAATAACATTATCCTATATGTTGTGTGCGCAACTACTAGATGAAAACTGGAAATTTGAAAATCTGCATAACTTCAAAATTTGTTGATATATTTCGTGTGTGTGTGTGAGAGAGAGAAAAATAACCTGATAAAGGTGTTATTAGAAGTTATTCCTCAGAGCGAAATACCTTTAAAATTTTAACACTCAATTATTATCAGGATAGAAATTGGTAAAATATTTTATGGTTTCGCAAACAATTCAAATAGAAACTACTCGTAAATAAATCAATCATCCCTAGACTAAAACACATCCCATTCAAACGCCCGAGATTCATCAAACTGTAACTGTATGCTGTAAGTATAATGAATGGAAGAGCTGTTAGTTGTATTAGACTATACCGTAAACAAATCGGCATTATATGTTTAAAAATAAAACATTTTTTAGAGTTTTACAAGGAAGAGAGAAGCATAATGTTGTTGTTTCACCCTGAAATATGGCTTATCAAAACTCCTTTTTATTAGATTAACATTTTTGTTTGATTTATGTTACGTAAACATTTCATGTAAGGAATTCGGAGGTAAAAACGTAACCCTTCTATACTTTTGGATATTGTCGAAGGTCTGTTACCAAGTTTTTGTTAGTGGTTTGTAAATAAATGTCAGCCTTAGCGCTGAAGATTTTTGCGCCTCAGGCGATATTTTAATTTAAGTATGACAATATAAATTTTAAACTTATTAAGTTATAATTTACAACTACAATTATACTTAATTAGAAATTTTTATGGTACGGTATATTTCTATAGGGTATTGACTGAAGAACTGACAGCAAGCTTACACTGTATGGTTAACGGTACACCATATCCCTGACGGAGCTCTTTGGTCTGCAGTGCAGTTTGCTTCGAGAGCTGGTGCCGCATTATCAAATGAATCATGGCGGAGGGGAGACGTACGACTCCCCGATGCGAATTAGACAAATATGGCTGTGTAAGGTTATCGTCTATTTTACAGTCTTTCAATGCTCCAATTAACGAAGAACATGCTTGGGCAATATGTTATCAGACAGCAAAATGTTTTTTAAGAGAATGGGAAAATTCTGTATCGAATGTGTACTGCCTTACTGACACTTCTCAAATTCGAATACAGAAGGATGGAACGATTCACAGTTCGTCTGTTCGAACGCACCGTTCTGGTAAGTACAAAAACGATTGATATTTCTTGGTGCCATTGTTTTCATATGGAATAAAGGAGTGTTTAAGAAATCAAGTACTACTTTTACGAAAATTTCTTGTACAAAGTAGCTTTCATAAAATGTCAGATGTCGGTATTTAATGAATACAGTAGCGTAATGAGACGTGTCTTGATGAAAAGTTCGCAAGATGTACCGCGTATGGCGGTAGATTGCTTGATATATTGCCGCAGCTTTTGTTGTCCACTGGTTTATTAGTCTTAGGTTTATTTGACAGGTGTAAAAAAGTAAGCTTGCTTGTTTTCTCAAGATTACGCTGATTCTTACCATTTTTATACAGTAGTATATAAATAAATAAAATTATTTCTATTTGCTGTTGTGATTAAATTTAAACTAAAGTAGATATTAGGCTATATACGAAACTTAACATTTATAATTTAGTGTTATTTACACTTTGTTGGGTTCCGTTTAACTTTAAAAATAATAAATGTAGCTTGGGATAGCCTATATAATTATAACTAATATTATGGATAAAATGTTACTTGGGATAGCCTATATAATTATAACTAATATTATGGATAAAATGTAGCTTGGGATAGCCTATATAATTATAACTAATATTATGGATAAAATGTAGCTTGGGATAGCCTATATAATTGTAACTAATATTATGGATAAAATGTAGCTTGGGATAGCCTATATAATTATAACTAATATTATGGGTAAAATGTAGCTTGGCTTGGATGCTATTAATTCTTATTTGAAATGATTAAATGGAATTATTACCACGGAACACTAGAAACTTGTAGAATTAATTTGTTTTGCGATGGTTTGGAAACAGTTTTCTTTTAGGTATTAATTTCAAAAATAACTTTTAGAGAATGTTGTAGTAGCTGCAATAAAAATTTCTGGAAAATAAATTGGGTTTAGTAATATTCAAATTTAGCCTAGCAGCAATGTGGGTTATATGTACAGCAGAGGGTCTGTGGGAACTTTGTCAACATGTATGGTTTAAGCTTGCCACTTACGTTCAGTTGCGAGTGCTTTAGTTATAAGAGTGACAATTAATCTCGTGATTCGATTAAAAGTCGTACAAAGTGTTTGTGGCGGCGGATGATGTTTACTGGCTGCATTGCATCTAGTTAGTAGTTTAATATTAGTGACAGTTATACCTTAAACCTATGAGTCTCTGACCTGGCCATTTAGCCCATGTGTTTCATATTGATGTAGTGTTTTTTCACCACAGATATTTTATTAGGAATTAAAGCTGTTGTTTTTTAATTCCGTGACAAGTATTCAGTTTGGCCAAACACTACTGTAAAGTTGATACTTGTAACACTTCTTTATATTGTACTTAACAAAATTCTAATAGTCTTACGTTTATTTGACAGGTGTACAAAAAAGTAGGCTCACTTGATTTCTAAAGATTACGCTGATTCTTACCAGCATTATACAGTAGTATATAAATAAATAAACTTATTTCCATTTGATGTTGTGATTTACAGTTAAACTAAACTAGATGTTAGGCTATATACGAAACCTAACAATTATAATTTAGTGTTATTAACGTTATTAATATGGGCGCTTTTTAAAGTACTATAATTTATAAATGGCTAGCAAAAATACCCGCCATGTGCTGGACTTAAAGCTGTGCTGTAAATGGGGGCGTGAGCTGTTCCTTCCACTATTTTGAGCCATAGCACACAATCCGTTCGTCCTATGCTACTGGAGCGGCAGTAAACGTCATTTTCGAACTTCTGGTGATTCACTGAGTTCCTTTATACCAAATTTCAAGGAAATTGTTCAGCTAGTTCCTCACGACAAAGTTGTGACACAAGATGAACAACTCTGCTTGACATATATATAGTTAAGATAAACTTCCCATGTTTCGGTCACTTTGTTTCATAACTTCTAGCCAAACATTAATAATATAATATAATTAATATTCGCAGAAAAATTCAACGAAATAGAACTGACGTATTAATTAGAACAGTACTTTAAGGTATTTTATTTTAATATGCCATAAGGAACAATAACAATATTTTGGATAGATAAAATATTTGTATCAAGTATGGTCACCCGATGGTTCATCGGTAAATTTATAAACGGTAAAATCCGGGGTTTGATTTCCCGCGGTGGACATAGTACATGTAATCCATTTTGTAGCATTGCACTAAGAAAACAACAGTTAGGTGTGAAGTGTAGTTTTGATTTGTTTAAGAGTTTGAGGCCGAAAGTTGATTTGAATACACAAGAGCATAAGTTTTGAGCGAAAGTCAGAAATTTATTTTTCCCACTTAACAACATAAATTTACTTTTTAATTCTTATGTTACAAATTCTACAACAATTTTTCACTAAATCACAAGAACGTTAAATGTTTCTGGGAGAATTGTAGCTAGACTTTGAAGTTCAACCGTTAAATAAATTTCGCCAACAACTGGCATACTTCATCGACGCTGGATTTATCTGAAGTGACAACAACCGGCGCACTTTGTCGACGCTGGATTTAGCTGAAGTTACAACAACCGGCATACTTCGTCGATGCTGGACTTATCTGAAGTGACAACAACCGGCGTACTTCGTCGACGCTGGATTTAGCTGAAGTTGCAACAACCGGCGTACTTCATCGACGCTGGATTTATCTGAAGTTACAACAACCGGCATACTTCGTCGACGGTGGACTTATCTGAAGTTACAACAACCGGTGTACTTTGTCGACGCTGGAATTTAGCTGAAGTGACAACAACCGGCGTACTTCGTCGACGCTGGATTTAACTGAAGTGACAATAACCGGCGTACTTCGTCGACGCTGGATTTAGCTGAAGTTATAACAACCGGCGTACTTCGTCGACGTTGGATATAACTGAAGTTATAACAACCGGCGTACTTCGTCGACGCTGGATTTAGCTGAAGTTACAAGAACCGGCGTACTTCGTCGACGCTGGATTTGTCTGAAGTGACAACAACCGGTGTACTTCGTCGACGCTGGATTTAGCTGAAGTGACAACAACCGGCGTACTTCGTCGACGCTGGATTTAGCTGAAGTTACAACAACCGGCATACTTCATCAACGCTGGATTTAGCTGAAGTTATAACAACCGGCATACTTCATCGACGCTGGACTTATATGAAGTTACAACAACCGGTGTACTTCGTCGACGCTGGATTTAGCTGATGTTACAACAGCTGGCGTACTTCGTCGACGCTGGATTTTACTAGTTAATTTTTTTTTCTATATTTTGAATTGCTTTAACGTCACGGAGGAATCTTAAAAATTGACATCTAATCACGGTGTAAATCAGATCTTTCTCTATTTCATCAAAGCACTGTCAGTTACAATGAAAACAAAAATCACTTTTGAACTGTTATTGTACAGCAATGATTGGTTTATCCTCAGATTCTTAACTAGCAAGACGTATATTTTATTTAGCACGAGTTTACACTCTGCAGTAATGTTGAAACAGATTATTTCGGTTCTTTAGTGGTTGTCATGGCACCTTCTAAATCAATATTCTCTCTATACGAAAGGAATGTTTTGTCTTATACTGTTGACTGACTTAATAACAATATCAATTCTTATAGTTGAGCTTGTGCCATTGACTGAATTACGGTTGAGTTGTACGTTTGCTTGTTGACTAGCGGAGGTTGGGGGAGGTCATCGAGAGGTCAAAATCACACGAAGACTTACAATCTTAGCCCATGTTAAGCAGAAGAAAATGCGGCTATGTCTGATGAATTATATCAATAAATAACAAATTGTACGATTTCATTAGTGCTTTCGATATACCTTTCGAAAGTTTCGTATCTTACAGTTTTTACACTTTCGATGTTACATTTCCACGTAGTGTCGGAAAGACGTTCGAGTGTCATATTTACAAAGGAGGTTAGAATGGACTATCGTTAGCAGACGCAACACAAACGTTTCTCTGAAAAAAAAACAGACGGAAAATGTTTTTCATCGGTTTCAAGAATTTGTAGCGTCGGACGGAACAAAAATGATTTTTGTGTTTCATCGCAAAAAATCGAGGTCAGGGGTGGCCAACTCACAGCAGGGAGGGAACTAGAATTTCACATAGTACGTTACTGAAGGTCCACACACATATCTAAAATATTTTTCACCACAGAAGAACACAAGTAACTTTGACAAAGTCAGAGACGAAACTGAAGCTCCCAGTAGCGCCACCTCAGTGGTTCCGGACAATGCAAGTGCTTTAATTTTATAAAATAATAGAAATATTGTTGCTTCTACCAAAATGTTTTTATTTTATATATAATAGAACATCAAATTATACCTTTTAACTACATGTTTTCGTAGATTTTCTTATACTCCTTAAGTTAAAACGTTTTACTTAAAATTACAGAAATTTCGAACGGTTCTCCGTGTTTCGTAAACATTTACAGAATAACCTCTGATAGAACATATCCTGTAGTCTGCTGGACATTTACTTCCATTACTTGGATACTTACCATTCTTAAACATTCGTAAACATTTACAGAATAACCTCTGATAGAACATATCCTATAGTCTGCTGGACATTTACTTCCATTACTTGGATACTTACCATTCTTAAACATTCGTAAACATTTACAGAATAACCTCTGATAGAACATATCCTGTAGTCTGCTGGACATTTACTTCCATTACTTGGATACTTACCATTCTTAAAACACCAACAGCTGCTCTAGATGGTTTGTATCATTATCCAGTAGTACTTTGTTCGTTTAATTTTAGAACAATTGCATTAACGACTTCTTTTTTGGTTCAATCTGGACTTCAGGGCTCGATAATATCGACTTCGTTTATTTTAGGAACCTACGAACGTTTTCATTCATTATTAGATTAAACTTTGCCATCAGTTCTACTTGAACTGAAAAAAAGAACGTTTCGGGAGTAATTTAACCTATCAACATTTCCGCGAAAAGCTTGATTTCTTTCTGCCAAATGTTTAACTGTTGCAATTTTCATATTAAATATGCTTATTAAATGGTGCCGTTCAGAAAA